ATAGGATCCACATATGAGGGAGAACATAGGTCTATTTTTTTTCTGAGTCTGTGTTACTTCACTTAGTATAACAGTTTCTAGTTCCATTAATTTACCTGTAAATTTCATGATTTCATCTTTCTTTACTGCTGAGTAAAACTCCATAGTATAAATGAATCACATTTTCATTATCCACTCACCAATTGAGGGACACTTAGATTGCTTCCATCTCTTAGCTATTGTGAGACGAGCAGAAACAAACATGCGAGTTCTTTGGGTATATGCCAAGGAGTAGTATAACTGGTCAAATGGTAGGTTCATTTGTAGTTTTTTAAGAGTTCTCCACACTGCCTTCCATAGGGGCTGAATCAGTTTGCAACCCCACCAGCAGTGGATGAGTGTTCCCCTTTCCCCACATCCCCTCCAACATCTGTTGTGCAATGCTGTGGAGTTCAGAAGAGTACGGATTCCCCCTGGAACTGGAGTTAAGGACGGTCATAGCCGCCATGTGGGTGCTGGGAATCAAACCTGGGTTCTCTGCAAGAGCAGTCAGTGCTCTTAACTGCTGAACCATCTCTCTAGCCCCTCATTTGTAGTTTTTTAAGAGTTCTCTACACTGCTTTCCATACGGGTTGAACAAGTTTGCAGTCCCACCAGCAGTGGATGAGCATTCCCCTTTCCCCACATACTTCCTCTCTTGATTCTGTGTTTTTTGAGTTCATTATATATTCTGGATGTTAAACGTCTGTCAGATGTGTTGCTGGTGAAGATTTTCTCCCACTCTGTGGGTTTTCTCTTCACTTCCCTGGTTGTCTCCTTTGATGTACAGAAGCTTTTAAGTTTAATGAGGTCCCATTTGTTGATTCTTGACCTTGTTTCTCAAGCAATTGATGTCTGGTCTAGAAAATCCTTTCCTATGCCTATATCTTTTAGGTTTTTGCCAATAATTTCTTCTAACAATTTCAGGGTTTCAGGCTTTACATTGAGGTCTTTGATCCATTTGGAATTGACTTTTGTGTACGGTGAAAGAT